GCATGAATATGGACTCCAACAGACCTCTGAACATGTCTTGTGGTTTCTGGCACCAGGATATTAGCCGCAGATCCTTTAAGTCCTACATGTTGTGACGGTGGAGTCCCATGGATCGGATCTGTTGGTTCAGCACATCCCATAGATGCTCAGTCGGATTGAGATCTGGGGAATTTGGTGACCAGGGCAACATCTTGAACTCTTCATCATGTTCTTCAAACCATTTCTGATCAATGTGTGCAGTGTAGCAGTGAGCATTGAACTTCCAATGGCATCTAAAAGTATAAATTGCTCTAAGCATATGCTCAATCACTGCCATAATTATGAGGGGGTCCTTGGATTTTTTTCCACTGTAAACATTTGCCATAATTTGCCGGAACAGCACTCAAAACTATACCTTGGCAGGGCTCAGTCATCAGAAGAATCTGTCTACAGTAGTGCTGCAAACACCAAAGAAATTGAATGTTGTTGTTGTCTTGTGTGTCTATTTTTTGTAAAATATATTTTATTGAAATAAAGTCATTCTAACAACATTTGTAAATAAAAAGTTTAAAAAATAAAATAAAAGTTACCAAATGCTCATATAATAATCGCTGATCGAATTATAGTCTTATTTAAGCTGTTCATCCCTGTCCCGGACGCTAACCTTTATTTACTGATTAAGTTGTGGGTCAGTTTGGAGGTCACTCGTAACAATGTGATGTTTTTAGTACACTTCACCAAACCCACACAACAAAAGAATCAAAGAATCAGGTAAAACCCAGTAAACCTTGAGATTATTACTTGTGACATTAGAACAAAAAAAATAGATATGAGGACATGTATAAAACTGAATTAAACAACAGTCCCTTAAAAATTATTTCTGATTTCATTAAACATTTTCATATAATTATTATGAATGATCATTTTCATTCAATATTCTTAACTTTAATTAAAAAGGTTTATTTCTGCTATTGTAGGCTCATTTAGTAAATGTAAGCAATTTATTTGGACAAGCTCAAACTGAGTGCTGGTCGTGCTTCTTCAGAAGCAGAGTCACAAACAAAGTTTCAAAAAATGCTGTGCACAGCGCCACGAGAAATGGGGTCTTGCGCACTCAACGTGACGTCAGATTAATTTTTACAAGACATAAGGAAAATAACCTGAAAGACTTATTTATCTTATGTTTATATTTAAAAGAAAGATAAATATTCTTCATTCAGACCCTAACAAACACATACAGTATGTCATATTATGCTCTGCGCATTGCACATCTCCACAGAATTCATGATTGTGTTCATATGTTTCTATTGTAGCAGCTTCATCAGCACACAGTATATTAACATGTGCAGTTATAATCGAGCTACAGTACATATACTGTGTATAACTGTGTGATTTATGTGACAAATAAAAAATGTACATATACATATATATATACATATATTTCACACAATGAAACATGATCAAATGTTTGCAGTTTTAAATATAGTATAGCACATTACCTCTTTCTTGCAGGATGTACAAGCAGAACAAAGAAAAACTATAATCGTATTATATAGGTCTGTTTATCGGACTGGTGCAATTTCATTCTGACATTTAAAAAGATGAATAATGGTTTAGTCCGACTGAAATCAAACATGTAAAGTGCATGTAAATGTGGCTACTGATGTAATGTAATATACAGGACACAACAGCACCTGACTTTACTGGAGCTGTAGATTAATTGTTCACGCTCATGAGTCAGCACACAAACACTGTAGAAACTGTCTGTCTGACACAGGTTTACATTCATATTAACTGATTCAGTCACTTAAATTATTTTGAAGGAAATGAAGCAGTCAAAGAAATGAAGTAATTACATTATTTGATCAATTCAAATTTTATTTAAAAAAAAAATCACATTTTATTAAGTGGCTGTTTAATTTTTAGAAACCAAAGAGACACGAAAAAAATCTCAGAAAAGTCAAATTTTTACAATTTTAATTTATTTTAGAATTGCGTCTGATTTGCTGATGATACACATTAGTAGTCTCTAATAATAAGATGCTTGGGAGTTTGTTGTCAAAGGCTTATATTTCTATAATACATCAAAGTGCCCTTATGTCACAATCACCAGCTGGAGTGTCCTGGACATCCACCAGAGGGCACTCCTCCCTACTCCATTGCCATTCTGTTCTGGATTACCCTCTAATGAAGCTTCATTTGGATCTTTATTGTACAAGCCTCAGAGTATCAGAGTAGTGCTTATGACAGAAATAGAATGGCAGTGGAGTAGGGAGGAGTGCCCTCTGGTGTGTGTGTGTGTGTGTGTTTTTGTCCACTAACATTTTAATATTCTTTATTCTGTATATTGAGTGTGTTGTAGGTCTGTGTAGCAAATCATAATGTTATAATAAAGCATAATATAATAACTACAAATAAAGTAAAAAGTAGTACATTATTAATGTAATAAAATGTTCAGGATGTAATAATTTTCTCAAAATAATAAAATCTTGAGGTAATAATGTAAAACAATTTTTACATTAGGAGAAATGTGTAACATTATAAACTAACCAAAACATTGTCATACTGAGATAATTGCAATATATTAAAAACACACACACATTGGTATTCCTTTACAGTACATTTAAAAAAAAAATCTATACTGTATCTCATTTAAAATTGTCTTAAAAATTTTAAAAATTAAACTACCTACCCAATGCACCAGATATAAATATTCATACAGTTACTACTACTGTTGTTGTTTTTGTTGTTGTTGTTGATGGTGATTATGTGGATATTAATTGTATAATATTATTACGTAATATTATTATTTCTTACATAAGCCAAAGACACTTGTATTTGGTAAAAGAGAATATTGCATTTTAATTGGACAAGAGCTATACATACTGTTAAATGACAAAGAGTGTGTAGTGCACTACCAACACTACAAAGCCTACATTGTAAAATAATAATAATAATAACGTAGTATCAACATAGCAAACATTTTAAAAGTTAATGTTTCATGCCTTCATTTGATTACCACCGTTTTTGATAAAACATTTGTGTTAAATCAAAAAAAATGTAAACAGACAACACAGCATTTCTAAAAATGCATACATGCATACTTAAAGAATTCCACAGGGCCCTATTATTGTAAAATAAATAATAATAATAATAATAATAATAATAAAGTTGTTGTTACAATTTTTAAGATTTATGATTTCAATTAATTAGACATGCTTTTAGATTTCTACAATTTAATTTAACCATTAAAACAGAGTCCAGAATAATTAATACAGGGAGGAAAAAAGAGTCCAGAATTTTTTTTACGGAACTTCCAATGGCATCTAAAAGTATAAATTGCTCTAAGCATATGCTCAATCACTGCCATAATTATGAGGGGGTCCTTGGATTTTTTTCCACTGTAAACATTTGCCATAATTTGCCGGAACAGCACTCAAAACTATACCTTGGCAGGGCTCAGTCATCAGAAGAATCTGTCTACAGTAGTGCTGCAAACACCAAAGAAATTGAATGTTGTTGTTGTCTTGTGTGTCTATTTTTTGTAAAATATATTTTATTGAAATAAAGTCATTCTAACAACATTTGTAAGAAAACAATAAAGCTTAAAACTTAAACGTATAAAAGTTACCAAATGCTCATATAATAATCCCTGATCGAATTATAGTCCTATTTAAGCTGTTCATCCCTGTCCCGGACGCTAACCTTTCTTTACTGATTAAGTTGTGGGTCAGTTTGGAGGTCACTCGTAACAATGTGATATTTTTAGTACACTTCACCAAACCCACACAACAAAAGAATCAAAGAATCAGGTAAAACCCAGTAAACCTTGAGATTATTACTTGTGACATTAGAACAAAAAAAAATAGATATGAGGACATATATAAAACTGAATTAAACAACAGTCCCTTAAAAAAAAATTATGATTTCATTAAACATTTTCATATCATTATTATGAATGATCATTTTCATTAAATATTCTTAACTTTAATTAAAAAGGTTTATTTCTGCTATTGTAGGCTCATTTAGTAAATGTAAGCAATTTATTTGGACAGCTCAAACTGAGTGCCGGTTCATATCAACTGAATATGTGCCTATTACATGTATGTTAAATGAGAATTTTAAGGAAATTATTTAAATTACTCACACTTTAATAAGTTTAGATTTCACAATTTACACTTTACTAATTATTCACTTTAGGATTATATTTACAACACACCACTCTACACAGCCAGCAACTAGAACTAAAATACAAACTGCCATTGCATCTTTTAAAATCATTCCATCAGCTTTCATATGTATTTTATATTTAAATGATTTAATTCGTCACCTGCAGTATTTTTGTTCATACTGTACATTGAACATTGAAGTGATAATTATTTGTGTGTCTCCACAGGTTTGACTTTTTTAACTTGAAGAAAGAACCTGCTGTAAAGTTTCTACTGAAACTGATTGTTTCAGCATCAGAGTTTGATGCAAATCAAGGAGAAAATTACACTGAACTATTAACGTCTGTGTGCAGCTACACATCTTTCCCTCTTAATGAGGATTATTTCGATGATTTTGAATCACAGATTGATCAGTGTGATTTTAAGCCGTACATTTTATTTTAAAAACCCTGCAGATACCCTGTAAATTCTTTTTTTTAATTATTATTATTATTTTTTTCTATTTTATCATTTATATACTTTATGTTGGCTATTTACATTATGCAATGTTAAATGCAATCCAGACAATTGGTTTTTAATAGCTCAATAACTTCTGATTTAAAGTAAAGAACTCAAATATGTGTAAACATGTAACTTACCACAGCTGTAAAGTGCTGGAAAAGCTTGAAAATGCACCTTGAAAATGCTTGAAAAGTGCTTGAATTTAACTTTGGAAAAGGTGTAAGAACCCTGATTATTACAACGCAAATGTCCTAAGCACGTAGTTATTTGTTTAATGTCAGGAATTTCCCCCGCTTATTAAAAAGTTACCTTCATATTCATTACAGTAGCAAACATTAGATGAACATGAATTTATCAGTCAGCTCCTGCAGTCTGGAGAATAAAGCTCTCAGAGAGAAAGAGCTCCATCCTCCTAGAAGTGCTGAAACTCCAAACAGAGAAGAAACCAGTAGAGCTGAGAGACTGCACAGATGAAGAGAGTGAAGTGAAGGGATTCCTCCAGTGTCTGCCCTACATCTCACAGCTAAGGTGAGAGTCTCATGGGGAAAACATTACTCTTTTGTTTCCATATTTTCTGCTCTCAGTTAGGATTATTGGCTAAAAAAAATAGTGAGTACAAAGAGTAGAACTACATTTCACACCATCTCAGAAACTGACTGAATTGATGATGATTCCAATAATGCTGTTAGTAGAGCTATGAGTAACTTAAAATGTCCCTCATCACAGTGTCTGATAAAGTAGTGTTTGTGAGCGCAGTGCTGCCGTTACCGGGGAAACCGCTCTATTTCTGCTGCTCCAAAAGTGCCGCCTACTGGCGAAGAATGAATCGTTCAGACTAATGCGAAAACCGACTGATGTTTTTACGCAGCATAAACAGAGTTGTAAATGTGGATAGACAAAAAGATAATGTGCCTTCAAAGATCTAAAAAATTAAGACAGTAAGATGTGTGTGTGCTTTAAAATAATATTTTATACTTTTGACTTTAATGGCTGAAATGTGAGGTTTATCACTTTGTAAAACTCTATTGTAGCTATTTGTGAAGACCTGTATCTAAACTGCAAATCATGTTTTTTGCAGTCATTTTATGGTTTAATAAGTTACCATAGATATTGCCCTACCCCGCTCATACAGTATTTATCATATTTGTGCATGCTTAATAAGCCGTACATTTTATTTTAAAAACCCTGCAGATACCCTGTAAATTCTTTTTTTTAATTATTATTATTATTTTTTTCTATTTTATCATTTATATACTTTATGTTGGCTATTTACATTATGCAATGTTAAATGCAATCCAGACAATTGGTTTTTAATAGCTCAATAACTTCTGATTTAAAGTAAAGAACTCAAATATGTGTAAACATGTAACTTACCACAGCTGTAAAGTGCTGGAAAAGCTTGAAAATGCACCTTGAAAATGCTTGAAAAGTGCTTGAATTTAACTTTGGAAAAGGTGTAAGAACCCTGATTATTACAACGCAAATGTCCTAAGCACGTAAATAGTTATTTGTTTAATGTCAGGAATTTCCCCCGCTTATTAAAAAGTTACCTTCATATTCATTACAGTAGCAAACATTAGATGAACATGATAAACATCAGACAGACGAGATCTTCAACATGTGTATTACACATGACAAAGTGCTCATTCTGAAATCTGAAGAAAGATTTATGCTTCATAACATATACCTTAATTCAGCTTGTACAGGCTGCTCACTGTTTATATAATTATGTTGTGTTGTTATATTGTTTTTGTTCATACAGTTGGCTAACTGCAAATGTTTCAATAATGATTTTGTTAACAGCATGCATTTTGAGGCAGTTAATGATTTAAATGTTGGTTAAATTAATTATTATTCAACATAACATTTTACTCCAATGGAAACTGTAATGCTAGTAAAATTGTGCAATCTTGAAGAGTCTGAAATAGATGTTGCTCAATCAGGACATAAAATACATGCATCTTAACTTATTTAGAGAAATAATGCTGACTACATGTGGTACAGACTTAAAGACACAAAGCTTTATTTCCATGATGATACATGGTAAACTTTAAATTTTTCAATACAATATAGTAACAAAGGCTTGTATCATAATATTTCTTGTACATACACATATCCTAAAAACAAATTCTGTGCGACTGTTATGCTTCAAATCTGGTGATTTTAGGTCAGTGTTTTGGCTGTCTTTGTCTGCTGCTTGGGAATAGTAAGATGGCGGCTCAAACACTTCTGGTGGCTTCACCGCTGAATAGCAGTTTAGAACACAATGAGCAATCGAGTCATTATACAGATCAGTGTCATAAACCTAATTATCTTTTTATTATTATTATTGTAAAGATGAATGTTGTAATTATGAATCTGCTCCCATATTTCATATTATCCAGCACTAGACATTGAAGTGTGTTTACATTTGTGTCTCCACAGACTTGATTTCTTTGTTTTCTATGAGAAGAAAAGGTCTGTCCAGTTTCTGGTGAATCTGATTATTTCAGCATCAGAGTTTGATAAAACGACTAGTGAAAATTACACTGAGCTGTTCACATCTATGCAGTCATTTTATGGTTTAATAAGTTACCATAGATATTGCCCTACCCCGCTCATACAGTATTTATCATATTTGTGCATGCTTAATAAGCCGTACATTTTATTTTAAAAACCCTGCAGATACCCTGTAAATTATTATTATTATTATTATTTTTTTTTTCTATTTTATAATTTATATGCTTTATGTTGCCTATTTACATTATGCAATGTTAAATGCAATCCAGACAAGTGGTTTTTAATAGCTCAATAACTTCTGATTTAAAGTAAAGAACTCAAATATGTGTCAACATGTAACTTACCACAGTTGTAAAGTGCTGGAAAAGCTTGAAAATGCACCTTGAAAATGCTTGAATTTGACTTTGGAAAAGGTGTAAGAACCCTGATTATTACAACGCAAATGTCCTAAGCACGTAAATAGTTATTTGTTTAATGTCAGGAATTTCCCCCGCTTATTAAAAAGTTACCTTCATATTCATTACAGTAGCAAACATTAGATGAACATGATAAACATCAGACAGACGAGATCTTCAACATGTGTATTACACATGACAAAGTGCTCATTCTGAAATCTGAAGAAAGATTTATGCTTCATAACATATACCTTAATTCAGCTTGTACAGGCTGCTCACTGTTTATATAATTATGTTGTGTTGTTATATTGTTTTTATTCATACAGTTGGCTAACTGCAAATGTTTCAACAATGATTTTGTTAACAGCATGCATTTTGAGGCAGTTAATGATTTAAATGTTGGTTAAATTAATTATTATTCAACATAACATTTTACTCCAATGGAAACTTAATGCTAGTAAGATGCCATAGAAATTGTGCGATCTTGAAGAGTGAAATAGATGTTGCTCAATCAGGACATAAAATACATGCATCATAACTTATTTAGAGAAATAATGCTGACTACATGTGGTACAGACTTAAAGACACAAAGCTTTATTTCCATGATGATACATGGTAAACTTTGAATTTCAATACAATATAGTACAATATAGTAACAAAGGCTTTTATCATAATATTTTTTGTATATTCAAATTAATTTCTTATTCTAATACCAGATATATGTTCATGTTTAATATTTCCTGCTTAATTACGTACATAAAGAAATATATTTGTGTTGTATCAGTTACCTCTGTCGGTAGTGCACAGCAGACACACACCCACCTTAACAATTTCAATATATCGCTTAACCTGCCCGAAAACACCATAAACATTGCAGATAACATCTGAAATAACAATTCATTTACATACATATATCCTAAAAACAAATTCTGTGCGACTGTTATGCTTCAAATCTGGTGATTTTAGGTCAGTGTTTTGGCTGTCTTTGTCTGCTGCTAGAGAATAGTAAGATGGCAGCTTAAACACTTCCGGTGGCTTCACCGCTGAATAGCAGTTTAGAACACAATGAGCAATAGAGTCATTATACAGATCAGTGTCATAAACCTAATTATCTTTTTATTATTAATATTGTAAAGATGAATGTTGTAATTATGAATCTGCTCCCATATTTAGAGAAGAAACCAATAGAGCTGAGAGACTGCACAGATGAAGAGAGTGAAGTGAAGGGATTCCTCCAGTGTCTGCCCTACATCTCACAGCTGAGGTGAGAATCTCATGTGAAAACATTACTCTGGATTTGTTTTGTTTTCATATTTCCTTCTCAGTTAGAATTATTGCAATTTTGTATTTATTTATTTTTGTGAGTACACAGAGCAGAACTACGTTTCACACCATCTCAGAAACTGACTGAATTGATGATGATCCCAATAGTGCTGTTAGGAAGCTAGGAGTAGAACTTTAAATGTTGCTCCTCATCACAGTGTCCCTAATCCTGTAAATTTTGATATATCTATTTATCCCTTTTTTCTTTCTGTTTTAAGATTAAGGTTATAATTATGAATCTGCTTCCATATTTCATATTATCCAGCACTAGACATTGAAGTGTGTTTACATTTGTGTCTCCACAGATTTGACTCCTTGATTTTCAAAGAAAAGAAAAGGTCTGTCCAGTTTCTGCTGAATCTGATTATTTCAGCATCAGAGTTTGATAAAATGACTGGTGAAAATTACACTGAGCTGTTCACATCTGTGTGCAGCTACACATCTTTCCCCTTCAGTGAAAACTACACTAACCCTCACGTTGATCAATGTGATTTCCTGCTGGATCTGTGTTCACATGTGAAGGACTATGAGAGTCAAACAGACAGGAGTGTCCTTCCAGCATTACAGCCAATTTATCAGTCAGCTCCTGCAGTCTGGAGCATAAAGCTCTCAGAGAGAAAGAGCTCCATCCTCCTAGAAGTGCTGAAACTCCAAACAGAGAAGAAACCAGTAGAGCTGAGAGACTGCACAGATGAAGAGAGTGAAGTGAAGGGATTTCTCCCGTGTCTGCCCTACATCTCACAGCTGAGGTGTGATAAACAATGCATTTTATTTGACTATTGTACATAAGATGTTGTGCTTTTTCCACCACATACAGTAAACATAAGCTTTATTTATAGTGCAAATATTTTAACTGAAGATAAGACAAACAATATGCTTGAATATTACCAGGGCAGGAGAATTGTATATTATTTAAATATTTATTTAACACGTTTTTTTTCTGGCTCAAAATGAGGCGAATGTGGTACCATCCTGATCATGTGCACAAATGCACTTATACCATGGCTTCAACTTTTTACAATATATATTAGGTGTTCTAATAATTTGATGATGGATGAAAATGACAATTATCAAGTTAAAGCATATTGTATAAAAAGCTAACCTGCTGAACATTTATTGAATACAACATAACAGTTGGGTCCTTTTGCAGTGTAGTCGAACATAAACATAACAAAATGTCTTTAAACAATGCATTAAAGTGTTAAATTTTCATCTACACACCTCACAACCAGTGCAGAACATTTTAGCCTCCTATTTTTCATTTTATAAAACATCTTCATCTACTCCTCATAGTCCAGTGCCTCCTGGCCCACATCGCTTATATTAACATTTATTATTTTATATATATCTTTATATTATATAAAAAAAGGTTCTATAAAACAAAACAGTTTCTTACGACCTTGCATGAATTCTTTTGACAGAATACATCAAATATAATCGCAGAAGGTTAACAGGTGCATTAGAGCTACTATTAGCATCATGCTGCATAAGACAATTTATAAGATTAATACTATGCGTTATTGTTATGAAAATACCCCAAATTGCATAACAATCACATACAAATCATATACTGTCATAATCATGTATATTAGCTTCTTGTTTCATGTAGAAATATTTATCTGGGTTTTTTTGTGAACAGAACAGAACGCGGAAGTGTAGCGGAAGTTCTTAATTGGAAGAGACGGTGGGGGGGTTATGAACGAGTAATATGAGTGACATGAACAGCAAATGATCTTCCTCTAAGTCATAACAGCGATCGCGGATGTAAAAACACAGGCAGACAGTGCTGGAAGCCACAAATGCTCATCAGCTTGCATAGTTCAGTTCAATTAATAGAAATGATGATTCTGTCTAAATAAATATTGTTAACGTGTAAAGATATCAATATTTCTCCAATTATGTGCACTTTTGGACAAAAAGCTCTAGGGGACGCTGTTTAGTGAAGCTTGTATGTGACTCCCTGCCTGAGTTTTGTCTACAGCAAGAGGTGGCACAAAATTTGATGGAGACAGCGCATCGAAATTCTCTATGCAGGAAAAACCCTGTTTAGTTTATTATATGTCCTGTAGGAATTCTGAGTGGTTCATCTCATCACTATGTAAAGTGTTTGGGCCCAGAGTGAAGGCAGATCAGGTGACTCCTCTACTCCAAGCTTTGGACTTCACCATCACTCTGAGTGAAAAATTACCCAGCAGCACCTGCAGATCTGTGGGAGAGTTCAGGGCCTCAAAAGACTGAAAGCAAAATCCCTTTCATTTCCTGAGCAGCTTGACTCTCCTGAGTCTGTTGTCTGTCCAGTGAGGTCCAGACTATCAGATTTGTGTTCAGCACAGTGGCTTGGCCCATGTTTTGTGAGTAAACCAAATTCTGTACTGAATCATGTTCTTTCTGTGTGTGTTCAGGCTCTCTAAAGATGCTCTTCAGCAGCTGGTTTCAGTGGTGTATGAAGCACAGGATGATGAACTGACACGCTGCTTTCTGAAGGTGTCTGAGGATCTGACTTCCTGCTCACTGACCTGGGAAGTCATTCATTACCTGCTGCAACATCAAGCTCTAAATTTCAAGTTGGACTTTAGAAAGAGCAAAACCTCTTGTGAAAACATCAGAGAACTTCTGCCGGTGTTAGACAGAATCCAGCTGAAACGGTAAAAGAATCCCTCAAGAATAGAGCTGTTCAGTTTGTACACAGTTTATCATAAAACCTGAAAGAGAATTGCTATTTTTGAGCCATGAGTTCCCAATGGATTTTCAATTCCTTATTAAACCTTATTTTACTCAATTTATGAGTACATTGAGGTCTGTTGTTAATACTTGAAGATAGTTTCCTGTTTTATTTTACAACATAAATTACACACAGTCATGCCTCAATTGTGAGTTTTGAAACCATTGTGTGCTATGTTAACAAGTTGCTACAAGAACTACAACAGTTGTCTGATTTGTCAAGCACATCCTTGTGGTAGTTGTAGTTCTTATGTAGTTTAGTTAACTGAAACTTAGCCAAGAAAAAAATGTAAATTCATTAGAAATTCCCATGACAAAATACATTTACATTTAGTCATTTAGCAGACACTTTTATCCAAAGCGACTTACAAATGAGGACAATAGAAGCAATCAAAACCTACAAAAGGGCAATAATATGTAAGTGCTGTGACAAGTCTCAGTTAGCCTAATGCAGTGGACGTAGCAATGTTTTTTTTATATATATAATTAATACAAAGAAAACAAGTAGATAGAATAGAAAAAGAATAGGGAACGCTAGTGTTAGAGGGTATTTTTTTAAATAAAAATATTCTTTTTCTATTCTTTTGACTTATTTTATTTTTATTTAAAAAAATACCCTCTAACACTAGCGTTCCCTATTCTTTTTCTATTCTTTTGACTTATTTTAGAGAATGCTAGTGTTAGAGAGTCATTTTTTATAATAAATAAAAAGAAAGCAAGAAGATAGAATAGAGAATGCTAGAGGCTTTTTTTTTTAAAGAAAACAAGTAGTAAGAATAGAAATAGAATAGAGAGTGCAAGTGTTAGAGGGTCATGTTTTTTTCTTAGAAATAGAATAGAGAGTGCTAGAGTTAGAGGATCAAATGAAGATGGAAGAGATGTGTTTTTAGCTTTTTTTATGAAGATGGCTAAGGACTCAGCTGCTCGGATTGAGTTGGGCAGATCATTCCACCAGGAGGGAACAGTTAATGTAAAAGTCTGTGAAAGTGATTTTGTGCCTTTTTGGGATGGCACTATAATGCACCGTTCACTTCTAGAGGGCACATCAGTCTGAAGTAGTGAATTTAGGTAAAGGGGTGCAGAGCCAGTGGTGGTTTTGTAGGCAAACATCAATGCCTTGAAATAATAAATAATGAAAAATAGTCTTCCAGGTCAGCTTACAAACTGACATAATCACAACAGCTGCATCCACTGAAGTCATTGAAGTTGCTTGTAGTTTACAGTTTGGAGATTTGTATTTATTGAGTGCCTTTAATTCAAGTAGATTTCATTGAGTGATCTTATTCTCTACAGGTTGAGCCCCAGCTTTACTCTGTCCATCATTATGGAGATTTACGAAACTCGCTTTCCTCAGTATGTGTCCAGTCTGATGAGTTCAATAGGAAATGACATCAACCTGAATGCCAGAGTGTTGGACTCTGTTCGCTGTGCTGCCCTGCGCTTCACTCTAGAGCACTGCAACACTGTCAAACTCAATCTGCTCTGGACCTCCATACCAGAGGAGGAGCTAGAGAGCTTTCTGCCTTTACTCAGCAGAGTCAAGCAACTCAGGTTTACTGATATAACAGCACTGATATCATATTAAACATGACTGTTCTTTTGTGTATGTTTGTTAACAGTATCTGTGTGTGTTAGTGTTGACAGGCTGCTGTTGCTGAAGCTGCTTCATTGCTGCAGTTCCTCTGATCTCCAGCAGGAGGCAGCACATGTTCTTCTCTCTGCTCTTCACAACACACTGGACTTCTCCTGCTGCTCTGCTCTGGATTTAACAGACACACAGGAAAACCAAGAGCATTTGAAACTAACTGAAAAAGACTGTAGAATAATCTCATCTGTGCTTCAGAAAACTCAAAGCATTGTGAAGTTGATCTTACAGGACTGTGAGCTCTCCGATACGGCCCTGAAACAACTTTGGCCAATCCTGCCTCAAGTCCAGCTGAGGTAAGACATCTGACAGATCCCCTTTCATTGCTACTATGACAGTGTATTCATTTATCTCCATATAAAATCCCTGTATATTATTCTCACATTCATGTTTGTCGTTGTGTTCTACTTCCTCTCATCAGCTGCAGTAAAGCTCTGCTGCTGCAGTTTCTGGCTTGTATTAGTAAAGATGGATCTCAGAGAGGCTCTTTGAGGAGCGCTGAGGCTCTTTCACAGGCTTTGGGAGGAGAGATGGACCTCAGTCACACTCAGTTGGACCCGAGAGTTTGTGAACAGCTGGCGCTGTTTCTGGAATATTCTGAAGGACTGACAGAACTGGATCTCAGTCACTGCAAACTCACTGATCTCTGCATGAAGCCGCTGCTGCCACATCTGCACAAAACCCAGACTCTGGAGTGAGTTACACAGACATATGAGGAATAGAGAAATATAAAACACAGTATTCAAAGTTCTGCTTATTTCTGTTATTTTTAATCTTTTAATCTCATGTCTTCTTACAGCCTGAGTCACAATACTATCACAGATGAATCAGCAAAGAGAATCCACAGTGTCGTCTGCACTCACAGCAATATTCAGACTGTACGGTAAGTGTGTGTGATCTGTGTTTTATTAGTGTTTGTTAACCTTCTGTTGGCTCATGTCATTTATAAACTAAACGGAGTAAAAGCAAGCAGTTTTATTTTTAGTAAACAAAACATTGACAAATTACTTTTGTTAAGTTAATAAAGTCATATCGGTCTGTTTTATCCAGTCCAAGTCTGTTATTTATAATGTGATTTGTTTGGTTATCAAGACAAAATCACAAGCAATACTACTTCAGATCTGTATTGTTGAAGGTATATTATGGTAAGCATATTTTGAAGGTTTGAAATACCACAAATTGAATGTTTTGATTAAACAGACATTTTGTGTAATAATTCAACATTTTGAATTTTAAATGTGTGTCATGCATTAATGACAGTGGTCCATCATGAAATACATATTTAGGTGATGATTAATATATAAATATTAAAGTATTTTGTTCTAATCCTAGAGGAAAGTACAGTAAAGCAGATGTGTGAGAGTACTAGGGTGTTTTTCTCAGGAGAAACATATTAGTCTTTATTTGCTCTCCTTTGCTATTTCTGAACCTATATTAATGAATTAACAATAAAGTGTGATTGGCAATAAACAGAGCAATCAACAGAAAACAAACATTAAAAAGTTCATTTAAAAAACATTTACACTTTACTTGAGACCTACATACAGTCAAACCAAAAATTATTCAGACACCAGATATAATTTTTTATATTTTTTACTAGTGCGTGCAGGACATTATAGTTCATTTATGTAAGTGAGGATAGCCAAATAAACTAAACTGTGACATTATACCCAAAAATTCTTCATACAGTGGACTACCAGTCAAAGTGATAAGACACTTATAAGACACCTGACCATGTTTTGCTTTAGTGTTATCTGACATTATCAAGATGAATTTGTTCTGACACAGTTTAACTCTTGAGATCTTGTCATATGTTATTAGCATTTTTTAAACTATAGCAAATAAACTGTGATAATGTGTGAAATGTTGAAGGTGTCTGAATACATTTTGGTTTGACTGTATGAAATCAGTCTTTGAGAAATATCCTTTTGTCATGAATAAAGGTAAAAAAAAAATTGTTTATCAAAAACTGAGGTTGTAGTGGAACTAGAAAACACATCAATTGATTTTTTTTGTAGTGTGGTACATAGAGGTTTAATTTCATTCTTTTATTTCATTTTTTGCAGACTTTTTAGAAACAAAATCAGTGACAGAAAGCAGTTCATCGGAGACAAGAGATTTGAAATATGGTGAAGACCCTGGACTGGTTTATTTGTCAAGGATGGTTTGTAAAGAGCTGGAAACATGATAAAACAGTTTTAGAATCACTTAGAACTAAACAAAAGAACTGAATGCTATTAGATTTAGTAGATTACTGTTATGGTTTTGCATTTAATTTCTTTGTCATTAATGCAGTTTTATTGTTCTTGAATCATCCAGTATGGATTTAAATGAGATGTTCATTTACATAGCTCTAATAACAAATTATATATCTGAAGAAATACTGTCTATATGACATTAAATAAAGATATGATGTGCTGGAGAAAGCCATATGAGGATCTGTGTGAATAGGAATGACATTCACTAGCAGTGCATCTCTAATGTAATCACACATGGTGGCACCCTCCCTTTATTTTTTACTTTTATTGATTTTAACGTCATAAACCAGTGTGTACAGAGGCAGGAGAATGAGAGTAACATGCTGGGAATTTAAGAAGGGCGCACATGCACAAATGTACATTTACCTGTATTCATTACTATGTATATAAATGTAAGTAAATCAATTATTAGTATTTTATCTGTACAAGACTGCATTCCCATTACTCATGTATTATTTTCATACATAATAACATATGTAAAGAAACTTTCTTCTTTGTTACCTTTATCTTCTTAATGTAGTTTCATACATGAATTTGTATCATTATTACATGACACCCATGACTGCTTTTAATACAAATCTATGAAATAATGTCTCTGTGAGGCAGGGTTCCTCAATAGGCGGCCCGCGGGCAACATCCGGCCCCTGAGAGAAAAAAGTTTGGCCCGCGCTAATTTCAAATAATGTGGCATGAAAATTCAAACGCAGCATAAGAAAGCTACATAGCATCGTGTCTACACCGGGCGCGAGCGGCGCGACGCAATAAAATACAATAGAACTCGTTATAATCAGTGATGCTGACTTGGATGCGGCGCGACACTACAAATCACCGACAGTAAACTCGTTCTATTTATAACGTACTGACACAACGTTCAAATGATTTGCAATGCTTTGTCGCGTACAGTGTAGATACGATGTGACAGCAAAAACATGGCAAGTGTGTAGAAAAGAAAAGTGGACATGGAAAATAGATGATTCAAATGTGAATGGACTGAACAGTTCTGAGTGAGTGAGTGACTGATATCTTTGTTATGGAATACACGTGTTGGTTCGCAGTGAGTTCACAGTTTTAACGTACAAGTTTGCTTTAATTTATTTTCAAGATCTGAGGTAAAATATCTATTATAGGTCGGTGGCCCTTGGCTTGGTATTGTTGGGTGTTTGTTTGGGTGCAACAAAGCAGTGTGTCAATAGCAGTCCTGAACAGTATACATTTTTAAACACCTGTCTTAAACTTTTACACTTACACAATGTTAATACAAGTAACATTTTAACAGCCTAGATGGACCTGTATGTTCACCCAGAAAGTGTTGATTATAGTGTTTTATCTTAATGTTCTGCCTTGCAGTCTTTTGTTTTCCACTGAAGATAAAAGTAGTTTGGAACAAAATAAAAGAGTGTATATGACAAGTGTCAGTTTTGGATATTAACACTTAGACCTCCCCGTTCACATCTGTCATATGAGTTTTAAATTGTTCGGTAAAGCAAAGTAAATTTACTTGACAGCAGAATATGTGTGTTACGTGTATCTGTGTGACACTTGTATTCTAAGCCCATAGGTGGCGTTGTGGGGGTTTCCCATTCCGTGAGTCGCATGACGTCATCCAGGATTCCGGATAAATAGGCTGCGAGGCGACAATGGCGGGTCTCTCTCTCTCTCTGTTGCTCCGTTTCCCATTGTTCTCGCAGGCGTCTCTCTCATCGCCTCTTTGAGGCTATATTTTTGTTTTTCTTTATAAACATCAGCGACGTTACTCCACCATTGAGAAGGAGGCGCTCGCTCTTGTCCTTGCTCTCCAACATTTCGACGTTTACGTGGGTTCCGTTCCGTATCCATTGATTGTCTATACAGATCATAACCCTTTAGTCTTTCTGAATCGAATGAAAAACAATAACCAACGTTTGATGCGTTGGAGTTTGTTTTTGCAACCGTTTGAATTGGACATCCGGCATATTCGTGGTAAAGATAATGTCGTTGCTGACGCTTTATCTCGTGTCTAATGGGAATAAATTGTATCTTCCCTCTCTTTCTTTTTTTTTATATATATATATAGAGAGAGAGAGAGAAGGAGGGAGAAAAAGGTAAGATCATTTGCATTTCTACAATTTATTCACTTAAGGGTGAGGGTGTTACGTGTATCTGTGTGACACTTGTATTCTAAGCCCATAGGTGGCGTTGTGGGGGTTTCCCATTCCGTGAGTCGCGTGACGTCATCCAGGATTCCGGATAAATAGGCTGCGAGGTGACAATGGCGGTCTCTCTCTCTCTGTTGCTCCGCTTCCCATTGTTCTTGCAAGCCTCTCCCTCATCGCCTCTTTGAGGCTATATTTTTGTTTTTCTTTAAGCTTAGGTTTAACTTGTAAATTTGGGTTTTGATATGTGATATACTTTCTTACTTATCAGTAGCGGGTAGTGTATTTATGTATTAGTTCACGTTTTGTTTATTTAGTAAGAACAGAGCGAGGGAAGCCGGGGACCGGAAGACTCACCAGTTCTTATTTTTATTTCGGGAGTCAGGTAAGAACTCTACTCTGAGAACAGGGGTAGTCAGGAGTCTGTTTCCCTAGCTTTCCTACCCGTGAGCTGATTATTCTTTCTTTGTTGTTATTTATTAGATTGTTTATAAAATATTCTTTGTGAATTGTTGCACATTATTTGCTGGAGATGCGAGTTGAACTCTGTGAATTAATTAAATGGAGGCGTCTTGAAATTCACATCAGGTGTTGTGATTCTTTTTAATATGTTCGGCCTGTGTCCTTTTAGTGTTTGAATTAACGAGCCTTAAAACGGTTATGGGCCGTAACAATGTGCTTTTAAAGTCTTCTGGTTGATTCATAGACTTTTAACTTTTAACTGGTCTGGGATGCAGGATTGACCGTAAACATAAAGGGAAATTTACTGTAATATTTGATTTTTTTTTCTTATTACCTTAATAACTCTACCAAGTGCTCTGCCTTGGTTTGACTGTGTCGTTCTGTAAGTGCACAGCCAGACCGCTAGGTTTCTACTATAGGAATCAAAGGTAAGCACAAGACGCATGATGCTTCGCTACATCAGTGATTAAACATTTTGGGAATATGGGAAATATGTAATCAAAGGTTTTGGATGGAATATATAGTATATTAGAATGTTGAAGAATATGGAATAGATCAATTTAAATTTATTTCAGGGAATATCATAAGCATAATTCCACCATGGATATTCCCAGAACCTAAGGTTAACTTAGATATAATTGAAAGAAAAAGGCATGGTTAGAGAATGGTAATTACAATATTGTTGTGTTCAGCATGTTATAGAGTTTATAGAGTCATGAGACAGAGAGAAAATAAAAAAAGAAGCATAATCCATTCAAGTTCTTGTGCTTAAGAACTCCAGTTCTTAAGCGTTCAATCAGTTTAAACATAACATTGGTGACAAGGATGGCTGAGTTTAGCTTACTGCCTCCAGCACCTTTTCTTCCTGTGCCTGCTGAACCGTGGGTGAGTTGGTTTGATGGTTTCACAGTATATCTCGAGGCCATGGACTACAGTGACATTCCTGACTGACTGCATCACCACTGTCTCGGCCGGAGGGACAGAGAATATATTGTGCTCGTAGGGGCATGGCCCATGCCATAACTACTGAGAACGGGCCCCAGTTCATTTCTGCTGAATTCTCCACCTTCCTCAGCAATAAGGCAATTAAGCATATTTGTGCCGCACTCTACTATCTGCAGCGGAACGATGGGGTTGAAAGGTTTAATCAGAGCCTTAAGAATGGGATTCAGGCACATCTGGTCCAGGAGTACTAATTTCAAATGGCACAGGACTTGTTGGCAACAGCAGTAGCTGGCCCCCAAGCAGCTGCCAAAGTGGTTGTCAAACTACAAACCAGGGATGAATGAAAGATAACGTTATGAGACACAAGGTCAGGCATACTAACATCAAGGTACTGGACTGGGTGCGAGTCTGTAGACCTCAGCATAGCAGCAAAATGACATTGTTTTGGTCTGAACCTCACTAAGTGGTTCATCAGCTACGGTCCACCACATTCCTGATAAACGTCAGCTCATGCTAGTAGATTGCGGAAAGTGCCGATCCCTCTCGGCCCAACGAAGGGTCCATGGACAACAGAGCCCAACGTAGGAGCAGCACAGGGAATACATTCCCCAGTCCCATGACCGGAACCAGTACAGCTATGGCCAGACCAGGCACCTCAAGGTTTCCCGCGTCATGGGACACCCACAACAGCCAAGACCTGACCAACCACCACTCCTGCCAGCATCTGGCCCTCATCCTCCTCAGCCATTGCTTGATGTTACCCAGGATGGCCAGGAAGTGCCCCAGCAGGCAACATTGGGAGGTAGATGGACACAGACCTTCATGCATAGGTGTATAGATGTTTTTCTCTATTATGGTTTGAGTGCCATATAGAAACTTGTTTCAGTAAGTCTGTAGGTTGTATTTGTAGGTTGGTACAAGAATACATAAATAAAGCTATATTGATATTTAGAAATATATACTGATGGATGTAAAGATTCAGGAAATGGACACACTGGTGTGGGTTGCTAAATAATAAAGGGCTCTCTGCTGTTCTAAACCACTACACCACCCCTTACAATGTATCTATATAATCTAATGATGTAACAATAAACTTTGAAGAAGTTTGTGGACCGAGACGTGACTCCATGTTCATGGATTCATGAGTGAGAGGGGGACTGAGAATATTCTGACGGCACCAAAAGATAAAGAATTAAAATTATCTAGCACATTAGTAAAAGAATATCCATTAATGTAGCTATGGACACAAGTTGCAGGTGGTGGGTCAGGACAGCTAGTTGCAGTATCTCTGGGTTTACAGTGGGTGGAGGAAGTCAAACCAGACAGAGTTGTATTTTATTCAGACTCAGCAGCAGCATTACAGAGTATTAATAAAACAAATAGAGATGACATTCTAATGGAAATATACACAGCACTGCTGAAACTTGGAAAAATTACAAATAGATGCTCAATTCTGTTGGATACCAGCACATACAGGAGTTCAAGGAAATGAAATAGCTGACAAATTAGCGATTAATCATAATGACAAAATAGATATTTCCCTTGGAAAAAAAATGAATGAAAAATATTAATTAAAAGCAACGTTGATAATCATTGGCCAAAAAAATTTGACTCAGATAATAAAGAAAGAGAATATTACAGTATTTAAAAAGTGATTAAAGTTAAAACAATTAATAGTAAAAACAGAAGAGAAGAAATCAGTATTACAAGACTTCGGTTAGGACACACAAGACTCAATACATTATTTCTTATGACTAAAGTGAACACAGATAAATGAGAAATTAGTAAATGCAAAGAAAACATAGAGTATGTTCAATTGAACTGTAGGAAATATAAGGAAGAAAGGGAAAAAATTTAAGAATGCATCAAATTAAAAAGGAAATGGGATATTAAAGGTATTTTAGGAATAGGCCATTCTCAAATGGCAGTTGTTAAGGTATTAATGATCTTATTTTTTTTAATTAATTAATTAATTTAGTTATTTATTTTTATTTATTTACTTATTTATGTTTTGCAAAAAACAGGTCTTATTAAAAGAATTTACGATGAGATCAATGAAGCCATGAATTTACACGCATGTGGGTGAGAAAATGAGGAAGATTCCATGGTAGACAGAAGAAT